GGAACGGCGTCGTTTGCGCCTGTCCTCTGTAATCGGGGTGTAGTTTGAGCTCGCGGTTTCCTCGGTGTCTCGTAACTTCCAGCTAGACATTGATCTGGAAGGCTTGGGTTGGGTTGGAAAAGGCTGGCTCGATTTTAGAAATGTCCTTTCTTCCTTATCTGTCGGCTCCCCACTGAACGTACAGCTCATCTTTCAGTCTTTTTACGGATATGACAGCATCCATCTACAGGAGTTTAGGTTGTAAATGCATTTGTGATGTTTTACAGGACGGCAAACTTATGTGTTATTAAGAGTTACTGTAATGAGTAAATTGCTGTAGAACATTTAAATGGAATTACTTCACCAGGGATATTTTAAAGATGTTCTATTTCTCTCCCATTTTAGGATAAAATCCTATTCCCAGGGCTAAGAGTTAGTTAGGATTTATTTCTAAGAAACCTGTCTATGGATTTGAGAACAGCATGTGTGTCGTAGGAAGTGTTTGATGGCCTTCATGTTTATTATGCTGTTGTAGGATCCTAGGAAGTGAGATTAAAGGTGCCAGGTATGCAACAGTTGCCGCGTACCAATTTATCAGTAATTCTTACCTGTTACACTTTCTTTTCTAGCAGTCATGGTGAATTTCGCCCAAGCTGTGCGTGATCACTGGGTTCACATCCTTGTTCCTTTAGGATTTGTGATTGGATGCTATTTGGACAGAAGGAATGATGAAAAACTGTCTGCCTTCAGAAACAAGAGCTTATTATATAGAAGGTCTGCTTTACAAAGCTTCTTATATATGTATTGTTATTTTGCAAAGTGCTTCTATGTTCTTTTTGAGAGTCTTAAAGATGAAAAAAAAAAAAAGGGTGATGTTGTCAAAATATTAAAGGGAAGAAAGCCCTAACAATTTCAGCAAGCATTCATGAAGGGATTTAGGTCACTAATGCCCTCTGAAAGTTGGGGCTTTAGAAGCCATCTTAGTCATGAAAGAAAGGATCACTAACTGCTGTCAAGTTCTTAGTTGTGAAATGTGGAAGCCATTATTTTGTCACTAAAACTTCAGCGAGAAACACAGTGCTTGAATTTTAAACTTTTCAGTGGATTATAGCAAAAGTCTGTCTTAAATGTAAAATGATCACAGCACTTTTTAAGTAAATACTTTTACAAATTTGTGTCATTTAAAAATGATAACCAAGTTTTTTAAAATTAACACAACATTTATGTTGGCAACTGCTGTATCTTCAGTGAAGGATGTGGTTATATACACTGATCAGTTTGGGCTTACTGGCTGACTTCTCAGGGAGAATTTAGATAACTCAATGCATTGCCTCACCTGTGTCAGTTCTCCTAATTCTATATTAGACAATGGGGCTAACGAAATGACAGAAAAAAGCCCCAACATGGTGCGTAAGTGTGGACTAACAGTAGGAATGTTATTATCAGTTTGCAGGTGGATTTTTTGTTTTTTACTCTGGTTTTGGCTAAATTAGTTCTGAGTAAGACAGTAAGCTGATGACATAACCCACCCCACTGTTACATGAGCACTTTTCTTACTGCAGTTGCTGGCGAAGTTGGGCTGGTATTTCAGCATGCTGCAAAAATCCCCTCTGCTTTCACGCCTAGTTCTCTTCCAGCTAAAGCAATGAATTTTTGTATTTACAAGAGGTAGAATTTTTCCATTTGGGTCCCATTATGTTAGAAGTCTGTTAACTCCTTAGAGGTCAGCTGTTCTGTGCTGCCGTTTACACAAATGGGAGTTAAGAGGACTCAACCCGGTGAAGCCTGGAAAAGAAAAGAGGAAGCTTACCAGTACTGAAACATTTTTAAGTGACGACAATTGCAGCGGAAGTTAAACGTATACATAACTCTCAAAATTAAGGCACTGTAGAATAATTCATTACATTTGTTAGTAATTATTCTACAAAGATTATCCTAATTTTAGTCTCTTTCCTCTCTTTTTTACTTTCCACACAGAGAGTTGAAGCCTGGTGAAGAAGTTACATGGAAATAAAGGCTGCTGATGAAATGGAAAATGTTTTTGTTTGATTCATCATCTTATCTCAGGCGCTGAAAGAATAGGATTCTGGTTTTTATCTTGAGAGAATATGTAAAGCTACAAAAAAGGACACCTGCAATTCATCAGCGCTAGTTTAATTTCCAATCTTACATTTTGAAAGATGATTTAATTACATGACTAATATGTGTCCAGGAATTCTATTAGTCCATAACTGCTGAGAAACTTGTCCCCAGAACTCATATTCTGAAGGGGGAAGAAGAATTACATAATAAAGAAAAACTATGCAAAAGTCCTGTGTGTTGTTTTTGATCTGTATGGTGTGGTGTTCATGTATTTACAGCGAATTTACGAGCTAGCCTTCAGAGGAGCACTTAACGTAGACCCAGAATGTGGTCGCCAGTTTATTAACGTGATCTGAAGAAGTTTCTTTCCAGGTTTCTCCGGGGAGGCGCCTGCTGGAGCGGCAGGAAGCGGGGTGCCGGGGGTGGAGGGGACGGCGGCCGGTGAGAAAGAGGAGGGACACGGCGCTGCTGGGCGTCTGCCACACGCGGTGGCGCAGGGAGGCCCGGCCTTTCCGAGGGAACGGGAGATCCCGGC